CCGCGTAGCATGGAGCCAATCGCAGGCGCGGGGGGCGGAGCTAGCACGAGCTCCGCAGCCGCCGGGTCCTAAACTCACAAAGTTTAGCAGCCCGAAGGTCCGCCGCACCCGCTGGCTGGGGACCCCTGTTCCTAACCTGCCCAGCAAAATGCTGGATAGCTAAGCTGAGCTGTGGAGAAACTGCGAATCCCCAGCTCAGGACGACCTTCAGTTACCCTAAAGAAACGCTAGATCAAATAAAGGGAATAATTTTCTCTCTACATTTCCCCTCCTAATTTTGGACGGGCTTCACCTCTTGGAAACTAGCTCGGGTTGGAAATTTAAACTGGCAAGATTAAAATCAGAACAGTGCTAATACTTAGCAAAGAATAAACTTTGCCAAACTCATTTTTTTAAGTCGAAACAGCGAACATGTGCAAAAATATAGTTTAGCAACCACAGCTTTTCTGGATCATCTATAGTGTTAAACATCAAATCTCTAATAATTACATCTCCAAATAATAGAAAGAAATAATTCTGGAATTATGCCTGTAGGTCCCCTACATACATCAACAGGTGATTTTTCCTTACTCCACTTATTCTAGAATTTATTCAACAAATGCTTTATTTTTCAGACATAAGATCACCACCCTTGAAATTTATAAGAAATAAATAACACGACCACTTATATCACGCACCTAAGAAACTGATTTTATCTCCAAGTTTCAGTTTATTGCTCCCAGTTCTTTGCCCATAAAGAAAAAGTAATAACTGGAAACTACAACACTGGCGCAGTGGCACTCAGGGACACAGCAGGGAAAACATCAAGCCTCCCATGCTCAGATGGCATCCGGCCTTCCTGTAGAAAGGACAGTGTAAGAAGTGAGGGGGCCAGGGATTTAGCTCAATGTGCCACCGCCTGCTTGGCAAGCGCAAGGTCCTGAGTTCATCCCTCGTACAAAAAAAAAAAAAGTGTACCATGCCCCATGGTGATATATCCTACTTTCTAGGCTTAAAATAGATATTCTTGGGTGTATCATAACATGTCTAAGTACACAAGGAACTCTGGCAAGCAGAGTAACCCTACAGTTCAAAGTTGAACTTCGGCCAGGGGTGGTGGGGTACGCCCATAATTCCAGCCCTCGGGATGCTGAAGCAGGAGGATCGCCAAGAGTCCGAGGCCAGCCTAGGCTACACAGTAAATTCAAAGCTACCCTGAACTATATAGCAAGACCCTGTCTTAAAAAAAAAAAGTTTGAAATTTAGCTGGGTTTTCTGATTTATGATCAGGGATTAGGCAATTGTGCGTAATCTCCACATCAGCTGGGTAGATATCCAACTTCTCCAGCCTCAGAGTTTGATTTTCCTGTCATTGACTAGTCTCCAACCCCCCCCCAAGGCTCTGGGAGAGGTCCCCTCCTCAACCACTCCATGGTGGCCACCCACATACACCACCCCAGTCCTGACTTCTCCACAGTAAGGAGACCCCAAGAACAGGAGGTATTTTCTGCTGTTCTTTTTTAAAGCAACAACATCTCCAGTACCTAACACAATGCCTGACACATTAAGCCTCAAAAATGTACCACCCGGGGGCCAGGGATTTAGCACCGAATCTGCCTCACAAGTGCAATGTGCCGAGTTCAATCCCTGATACAAAAAGAAAAAAATAAAATAACAATAATATTCCCACCCATCAAACCAGCATTTTTTCACTTCAAGGAATTCATTCTAAGGAAATAATTAAGGATGTTCTAAAATATTTAGCCATGTGAGCTAAGTTTATGACAAGAAACTGAAACAAAACCATCATTAGTAAAGTGTTTAAACTAAAATAATGAAGTCATTTAAAAATGTATTCTATAAACTGCAAGTAGAAATATTTTTAAATAGAGGGAAAAGCCTACAGACTTAAGAGACATATTAGCTGACTGGATCTTATGACTTCTGATTTGAATAGTCTATTTTTGAAAATCACAGTTGAGACAATTGGGAAAAATCTATAAAAACTATGTTATCTTAATAGTTTCAAGAAATCAATTATTTGAGTTATCTTTTAAACAGTCACATGTAATGATACGCTAGTGAAATGTCTGGGATTTAGTTCAGAAAAAGGGAAAGGGGAAAACTGGCAGTTTAAATAAAACAATGTTAGCCATCAGCCTATGGCTACTGACACTAGTCTATCTGTGTATATGTTTGAAACATTTCACAAAATGCCTTCAATCCTATTGAGAAAAAGCAGGTAACAAACCTGCAGGTCCTCACAGTATAAGGCCATACCCACAGCTCTAGAAGGGTTGCAGGCCACGGAAGCAGCAGCTTCTCCCCAACATTCTCCAGTGCAGCCCCAGTGAGGAATGTGCTCTCTGACCTCCCTGTTCAAAGCAGGGGTCTCAGGTGGCTCGCTCTTTCCAATGAAGAACTGAACGATGAAGTCTAACTTTAAGTAGACACATGTGATCAGTGGGTACCATTTTGGACAACACAGGTGCATGTCAGATTTATGGACAATCCTCTCCCTTTTTATTTTATGCAACAAGGATAAGGCAGACTGCTTGGCTTTCCATTTAAAACATTTACTGACACTGATGTGCATCTCTTCTGCAGAGGACTCTTCAAGTGAAATGGAGTTGAATAAAGCAAGTTACATGAGAGTTTATGTATATGCTTTCAATTAACTTTTTAAGAAGGCAAAAAGCAGGCAACTCACTTTCAATTCTGATTTTCCAGCTCTCCATTCCTTCAGTCCCAATTCATACAGAAATGTTGTTTGTTTACTAAAAGCAAGGAGTATGAATGTATTGCCTAGACCAGGAACTTTAACATATATGTCAATCATAATGATAAAAAATTAGAGGAAGGGCCAAACAGAATAAAGCTTTCTACAGATTTTTGGTAATGAATTAGGAGCCAAAATAACTCTATGAACAAAAAGAAATAGTTTTTTTTTTTTTTTGGTACTGGGGATCGAACTCGGGTCCTTGCGCTTGCGAGGCAGGCCACCGAACCACTGAGCTAAATCCCTGGCCCAAGAAATAGTTTTTTTAAGGTTTTCTTGATTGAATTAATCATTAATAGGATAAATCTAAAGCGGCTGGAAAGGCATATGGCACTTTTCATGGGAGGAGAGGGTACTAGCTTCCCGCACATGCTAGGTGATCATTCTAATAATGAGCAACATCCCTAGCCCATTTGGGGTTGTTTTGTTTTGATATAGGGTCTTGCTAAGTTGCCCAGACTGGCCTCCCAAGTAGATGGGATTACAGGCATGTTATATAGTACTCTAAATACTTAACACATAAACACAGTGTTGTTCACAAGAAAGCAGAAGTCTGAGCATAAAAAATTGCCAGAGGTAAGATTTTTATTGACTTATTATTGTAATTTTTCAGCATACAAATTACTTAATCAAGTATAATATTTACAATTCTTACATAATATACATTTTAGAATAGCTATAACAATAATGTATGTACTTTGCTCCATTTACAGTGACAGACTAGGGTAAAACTACATTCATGAATTAGATACAAATCTTCTACATACTAATAAGTAAATGGAGTGTTGGTTATACATTCTTTAAAATATACCTTTTCACAGGTAGCAAGAAATATTACATGTAATAAGTCTTTATGACTGGAATGATCCAGGAATATCACAAAGGACAAGTATACACATACAGAAAAGTATCTCATTATTTCAAAAAGTTAACTGTTAGCCTTTGTGTAAAATAAATGGTGCCAACAATCTTTATATAATGTAGCAAGCTTTCCCTGTTGAAGATTAACACCCAGAATAGGGATTTGGGGGAGAGTGAGAAAAAGTAAATCTAGAAGACCAATGCAGAGAAAATTTCATTTCATCAAATGTTGCTTTGTCCCCAAATTATCAAATTTTAAGTGAATAAATTTATCTAAACAGAAAATGATGTTCATAACCCATCTTTATATACGTTAGGATTCAACAAAACTAAATCCAAGCCTCTTTTACCTCGTTCATTTGAAAGCATCAAGAAATCAGTAAATGCTTAATTCAAATTACCTTTATAATATTTTGCTTTCATTGATGTTTGCCATTACAAAAATGTAAATTTTCTTACAATCTGATGTCTTCAAACCCCAATCTATTCCTCAAAACCTTGAAACAAGGTCCTCTAGAATAGCTGGCATCTTCATTACGAAACACAAGGAAAGCTGGCAGTCATTATTAGATTTTGCTGCCTTACAGCATTTCATGATACAAGTAAAGTGCCTCTGACTTATAGTCAGTCAGATCTGGGTTCTGGTGTCAGCTCTGCCACCAACTGGCAAACTGAGGGACCACCTCTGTAAAACACGGGAGCACACTATGATCAAAAGGCAAAGATGAAGCTCTATGATCTCAGAATACTATGGTGAGAAGAGGTGAGATAAACTAATGTCAAAGTACATTTTAAATAGCAAAATACAGATGTTTTTGTTTTTTCACTTTGTTTCACCCACTCATTTCATTTTGTGAGAAGCCCTGAATCAAAAAGGGTAGTGACTATTACTCCAGTGCCCTTTCTACTAAATCACACACCTCAAAAGTCACTCTGGCCATAATTTCTATAAAAATATAAACTTTTTCCAGCTCATGTCAATGCTATCATCATACAGAAGAGTTAACTTGACAACGTAAGTGTGATCTAGAAAAGTCAGTTATTCCAAATGGGTAATATATTTACTCTTAAACACAATTTGGTTTATTGTGATCATATTTTACATGCATAAAATTACATTTTTAAAATACTATTAACATTGTTGTGAAGTTAAAATTTTGCAGACTGTAAAGGTCTAAAGTGTTTCCTAAAATGCACTTAAGAAAAACTAAAGTACATGTTACAAATTAAGCCTGTATGTTTGAGAAAGTAAATTTTAAAGTTCATGAAAATCTACAGTGAAAACCAGTGTAAGTTAGGCATAATGTAACACAGTCCATGGAAATTTCTGAATTTCTAAGGATTGTACTAAAAATAATTTTTTAAACCCTAAGAACCTAACACATGCAAATGTTATAATGAAGCATTGCAAATGATTGCTCAATTACCTCCAGTCTAATTCTAAAATGAAACTGTTTTATGAACTCTTCATAGTGCTACTATTCTTATTTTGACATTAATCCAATCTTCAAGTGAGTGGACTAAACATAATGAGCTAACCAAATAAAGATAAAGAATCAGAAACTACTATCATCAGGTCAGTTATAGGAAGAAAATAAAGGGCAATCACACAGACTAAAAAGCCCGAGAGTAAGATTAACATGGTTTTACTACAATTTCTCATGATGCACTGAATAATTCATGGCATAACAAAACTCAGATATGTTACACTATCCAAAAGCTACTAGCAGACACAGTGAAATTCACCTAAGAGCCAACCTACCTTGTGAGTATTAATTTAAAGTCTTGTGGTTTACTCCATCATTTCTGCCAAATTTAATCCAGGTGGGGTCTCGAGCACATTCAAGAAATAAAGCCAGTTATGTATTTTTGTATTACAGTCTCCCTGCAACATTAAAGATTTGGCTTTCTCTGAAAATACTCAATTCAAAACCATGACCACCTGTAGAGCACTTCAAGTACATCTCTGACCTTTAAATATAAGTAGACGCTAATTACTATCGCATTAACAACTCATGATTCAAACCAAGGAGGAAAGGAGGGCACAGTGAGTTCCCCTCATCACCACAGAGGTCCCAGAGGGGGTCTCAAGCACCAAGGACCAGGTCAAAAGGGAAGCCTGACAAAGGTCAGGAGCTTTAGGAGCAACATCTAGGATTAAAACAAGAGCAGACACTGTGTATAAAGGAAATGCGAGGCTTTCTTTTCTCTGTCTTCCTTCCCTCCCGTTTGTTTTAACACATTTGTCTTCCTTGAGATCTGTAGGTCAATTAATTTCAAAGTACAATCTAATAAAAGAAGTTACAAGTCAAACTTTTGCCTTTAAACTAAGTACTACAAAGCTAGGTGATCTGTGACTCACATAAAAACAGCAAAAATTTAATGTTTCTATTATGTTGCAATTAAAATATAATGCTCTGAAAATATTTCCTCAGAAATAACTCCAAACTACATTTTTATCTTTATTTAATACATAGTGACTATATTTACTAAGTAAGCCTTACATGCTTGCAATTTGACCAAATTATGGAACATTTTCTATGATGTGAATTTATTTCAATATAACTTCTTAGATTCTGATTTGGAGTTTAATCAACTTCTAAGATTCTACTTATTAGGGAAAAATGTATTATCTTTCTGATTAAATATCTCTTTTACAAGTTTAAAACCTTTTCTTTAGAAACTGAGTACCAATAACATCACTGACATCATTTCTAAGAGAATATTAAACCAACTGTTCACAACATCGAAAAGGAACCACAAGGCAAATTATGTAATTATTCTATATTCCTGATAAGACATGTCAAAAATGTAATCAGACTAGTTTGTAGTATATAAATGGTAAACAGGTATGTTCATAGTATCTTGGAACTCAAGGGTCTGTGATTCACGTCCCCAAATTCTAAAACTATATTCATAATATATAATTTAAAAGAATGTAGACTGTGTACAGTACAAAGGCTAAGTGTAGAAAAGAGTAAAAGGAATTTCCTGCTGTATATTTTAATATAATAAGAAAAACAGGCTTTTTTCTCTGTTATGCAAAGAGATTTTTCTTTCACCAGTAGCACTAGGAAAACTGTATCTTAAAAATAACAACTTTCAAATATAAAAAGCCCTACAAAGATTAATAAATCAATTTTCCTTTTGGAACTTACATTTTGGTTAAAGTATAATTTTGCAACGTAATCTTTGAAACACAGTTTTATTATACTGATAATTTGTTAAGGTTTTAGGAAATAAACCCAACAATAAGGAACTACAACTTTTGAACTGGGATCCTTTTGATGGTTGAAAAAAAAATTAAGAGCTCCTTTGCTTCATAAGATGGAATAAATCTGAAGGACTGAATTACTGTCTACTTGAACAGCCATGATGTGTCTGTTGAGTGCTGGTCGATAATCTAGTAAGCTATCATCTAAAGAGTAGAATGGTATTTCTGAGCAAATGGGGGAAAGCATATTCTCTAGTTCTAATAAGTAAATCTTACAGTGTATATATGATAGCTAGGTTACCAAGAAAAAAAATACACTACACCTATCTCTGAACGACCCAAAATCATCAGGGAAGCTAAAGAAAGACACATTCTTGAGACAGAAAAGGATAGCTGGCTCCCACTTGACATAGACATTTTTCACTGAATGATCCTGGGCATGATGCACAGGAAAATAATAGTATTATTGGCAAGAGAATAGTTTTTTTTTCCCTCTACACACTTAGCATCTTGGAAACCTAGAGGTGGCCCTAATCTAGATTCAACTTTTAGTTATTAAAAAAAATAGCCATTTAAAGAGGATTTATTTTTTTCCCTTTCAATAAAAGAGGTACTACAGTAGACTCTTCTTCCAACTATGAGAGGTCGTTTCAATTTATAAAACTATCAGTGAATGGGTATTTTCCCCAAGCTATGCAATATCTATCTACCAAAATTAAGCAAGTAGAATTATAAATGCAAAAGTTGTGAGTTTTCAGCTGCACACATTAGGAAGTCACCAGATTTCATATATTCTCCCTTCTTTAAAAATTCAGAATTTCTGTGAATCTTGCTGGAAACGATTTAGTTTCTCTGGATTATTGGATGCCATTTGTGAAAAATCACGGAAAATGTCCTGATAAGTTTCATCACCTGCATGAAAGTAAAATAAGGACACTTAAAATGTATACAAGTAAAGCATTAATAAAACAACATTCATTTTTATAAGTATTAACTATTTTTTATATCATTACATTATTTTGTTCAGATGATCATTTTTGGAAGAAAAAAGGCCAACTAAATATAAATGCAAGGAAAATATATAATGAAAGAAAAAAACTATACCTGAAAAAAGCACCTCAGATGCAGCCACAGAGGAAAGTTCAAAGTTAGAAAAGAGCAAGGATGCAGGTGTTTTAAAGCAAGATAAAGAAATAACATTTATTAACACACGAGAAATTAGTCATTCTAAATGAGGCATAGTAAACAAGACATTAACTAAAATTTTCCTTTGTTAAAGGCCAAAAGAAATTACCAAAGCCAAATACTAGTGTTCTTGATGGATGCAAGTTATTCACAAAACAAAATGATAATCAGATAGGAAAAACAACTTTCTTTTATAGGATTATCTTTTAATTAGAAGAAATTTAAATTAAAATAGCATACTCAAACTTTAAACTAATGCATCTAATTCACTGCTTACTACACATAAAATTTTTAAAGCCTAGAAAATGACTATAAAATCATAGTCATACATTGTCAAAAGTTGTTTTGTTTATTATAAGTCATATGAGCAAAAATTCTATAACCAGCCAGGGATTTAGCTCAGTGGTGCCATGCCTGCCTCACAAGCACAAGGTCCTGAGTTTGATTCCCTGATACTGGAAAAAAAAAATGCTACAACAAAATGGGAAAAAGCCACCTGTTAGAGAAATAAATATATGTATACATATAATATTCTTGAAGAGGTGTTCATTAAGATATTAACATTATATCAAATTAAATACTATTTTTTCTTGCCATAGGAAATTATATATACACATACAAATTAATGCCTCAGACAAAAGAATCTTATTTTCAAAATGAATAATTCATCATGTTTGCTTCCTGCTAAACATTAGCTTTATAGATTTTTAAGAAATCAACCCAACAATGAAGGACTTATAGATACACTTGGAATATTCTGTGCTCAAGATTTTGAGTATAAAATACTGTTTTGGATTATTATTGTTACAACCTGGTTTTGTACTTATTCACCATAAGATAACTTGCATCCATCTTCTAACAAACTCGTTGCTACAGGTGTTAATAGTGCAGTAAATTTTGTCACTTTTAAGGAGCAAGATTTTTGAGGCAACAGATGTCATACCAAAAGCTAGAGAATTAGAAAAATGTAGGAGAAGAGCTATTAAAAAGGCCTAACACCATAATCCAAGATTTTTAATAAAAAGATTTTAATACTTTTAATACTTAGTTCCCTTTAATATTTCACCTATATAAAAAGCAATTTATTAAAATCATATATAGTTTTCATTTTGCCCTGGAAATTTACTTATGGCCTGAAAAAAATCAGTTAAGCCTAATCAATCTACTTTAAAAAGAAAAAAGTAAGATTTATTAAAAACTAAAAGTTGATATATTGGAACTGATAAGACAATCCTATGATTTTTTTTTTTGAAGTTCATTTCCACATTAAAAGGCAAACTACGATCTATTCCCACTTTAGCCATTCTAAAACATATAAAATAAGAGAACCATAATAGCAATTAACAAACCATACAAAATATTTTAAATTTTTTTCTTATTTTTAGATGTTGAATTAAAATATGTAAAATATTTATTGTAAACATTATATTTTTAAAATACTATTTAAACTAGATAGTCTAGAATTTTACTCCCAAGAAAGTGTAAAGTGCAGATTATAATACAAAAATACCACACTGATTTTACCATTCAACACCAGAAGTAACTTAAAAGGCACGCATTATACATTCAAGAAGAATTAGGAAGAAGGATCTAGCAGATGCTAATGCCAAAGAGTTTACAGATAGCACCAGATGGACATTCTTAAGTATCACAACAGTACAATGGCAATATATGGCTTCTACAATTAGCAATGCATATTTGTATAAAAAGCTGTATTTTTTCTAGTTTTTGTTTTTCAATCATCTAGTACCTATTACACCAGTATGTTTGAATAGGTCCATTGTACCATGCAAAGCAAATCAGAAGACCTTTCATTTACTAAATTAAATGCTTCCTTGAAGGAAAGTGTTGGTGCCATAATAATCATTGGTTTCACTGACTGAATACATTTAAGGTCAACACAATACAAGAGACATTTCCATCTTCAAACACACAAAAAAACTTTCTAACATTCAGTTTCTAACAAAACATTAATGAATGCACTGTTAATACACTACCTTTCTTAGACCTCAAAATGTGTTGTCAAAAAGCAAATGTTACAAGAATAATAGTGACTAAGATATTTAGCATAGCTACCACAAGTTGAATTTCAATGTGATTATTCATTTGGAATTTTTCCCAAGGCAAATATAATTTGTCTACACTAGAACACATAAACAAAACCAGACTATGCCGTCCTAGAATGTTCGCAGAAAAACATTTTATAGTTTATTACAAATGATAAAAAACTGATTCCCCCAATATCTGTAATACTAAGCATATTCTTTAAATTACTTAACCACATTCCTTTTTTATTTTGGAAAGTAAGCTTTTATATGTGCCTGTACAGTTCTGAGGTTTTAAAACAGATTGCTTTGAGCCAGGTGTGGTGGCACACGCCTGTAATCCCAGCACTTGGGAGGCTCAGGCAGGAAGATCGCTGTGAGTTCAAGACCAGCCTGGGATACACGATGAGTTCCAGAGCAGTCTGAACTATATGGTAAGACCCTGTCTCAAAAAACCAAAAAAAGAAAAAATAAAAAAACCATAAATTTCTTTGTTTCCATTGATAATTAAAATTCATTTTCAAGTTTGGGATTCAGAATATCCATTGTAACTGCAGTTATAATGACTCAATTGTTTATTGACTCTGCTCTTGAAAAGAACTCTCTCAAACTGACGACCGCATATGAGACCTAGCCCAAAGTAATCATATGCATGACCCTGCCCCACTACGTTGCTAAGTTTCTTTCGACAACTCATGAGATCAGTGATCCCCAATCTTTGTCTGCTACACATTCATATAACCAGTACTAGTGCCCAGGCCAGTGATTCTCATCTGGCTAAGAACGTGCCAGCCATCAAGACAAGTCACAGAGCCAGAAGATGCTTCCTTGAGGGAAATTATTTTCTGACAGATTTCCAATAGCTGAGAGCAAGGTGTGCTGCTATTTCCCTCACCCACTCAGGCCTCCTAATAGTTCTGGGGGCTACCAAGGAGTGACACATTCTCCCTTCGGAAACTGTGTGTTCTTAAGGTTGCCTTTCAAAAATGGGAAGTCTCAGATTCTTGGATTGTAACAGAAGGTTCAGAAAATGAGGTTTACTAGAAATAGGTTTATGATTGCCACACATTATATCCGAATTTTTTAAATAGTAGACCTCCTCACTACCAAAAGACTTAAAATTCCTGTACTATAAACTGCCTAGAGTTCTGAGATTTTCTACTGGTAGGACACTTTGTATGGGGGGGGGGGACTAAAAAAAAACAATCAACCAGTCTCTGAAAGAAAAAGTATATAGTGATACAGTAAGCAGATGAAAAACAAAGAGCTACTGCCAAATACCTCTGCTCTCCAAAGACTCAGGAAGGAAAAGAGGAGAGCAAGCGTTGTGCCACGTCACCACATCACCTGTATAAGCATGTTTCAAATATTAGGACCTACAAAGGACTGAAGTAGAATTATTCTCAAGATAATCTGAAAATAGATTCTTTAAAAATCTCATTTTATTCTGATACACTCTTTCCAGAATCCTCACCTATTTTTTTAACCTCTAAACTGAAACTTGAGAATGGCAGAAAAGTTTGTTTCAAAATGAGGCTTTCTCAATTTTTCATTAAAATAAATCAGAAAAATTGGTATCTCTGTTGATTAACAAACGTTTATATACTTATAAATAAGCCTGCACATATGTAACAGTGAAAGAGACATCTGAGGGCTCTAAACAATGGCAGAAGAAAACCAAACAATTTGGGTGGAACTGGAAGTAGCAAGAACATCGAAGTTCTGTCCTTTCAAGCTTCCAACTCCAGAGAAGAGTCATCCACTAACCTTCTGACTAATCAGGTGGCTGAATCTCATCAGCAAACAACTTAAGGAAAGAGTGGCTGACCCAACATTTAAGTTTAAAATTTCAAGAAAAAAATTTGTTTAACTTAAACTCCTGAAGTTCACTGTTCTCACAAATGTCAGGTCACATCCTTTGATCAATGTTTATTTTTAAAGTGCTTAAACATAAAGGCCTCAAAAATGGCCTAGTAAAACTATCACTTAAGTATATCTGTTACAAAACTGTAACTTGTTTAAAATCTAACACTCAAGTGTAAAACAAATAGGTGAAATCCAGAGTTAACACTGGAGCTTCACCCATCACCAGCATTTGACATTGCAGAATATCATGAGTCAGTGGTACATGTGATCCATAGGATTAACATGGGATGCCCTAGATTAGAAGCACCTAGATCCAGTGCCTCTATGCTCAGTCCTTTCTTGCTCCCTATTAAATTAGGGCAAAAATAAGTAGTGAATACAGTCCTCTGAGAAAAAAAAATGCCCCATATTGATATTAAATATTGAGTTAAAGTAAATGGTTGAAGCTATCAGGAAGTACAGAAATTTACAACATATTTAAACAGAAAGAAGAGATGATATTACCAGGCCACCATAAAAATATTACCAATATTCATTTTAAAAAATCAAATATACTCATTGCAAACTGAATGCTCTAAAGTATTTTTATGAATATCTGAAATTTTTACTAATACGTATATGAATTTAAACAGATTAGTAATTCATATACTCAAAATCATGAAACTAGAGATCCCGTAGTTACTCTCTTCTCTGTGAAGAATGTCTAATCAGCATGTACTCGTCAAAGAGGAATCTGATCAGCAACACTTCTTTTCTTGACAACCTGACTCACAGGTAAAATGAGTCAAAATGAAACTTGAGGTGATCATGAGTTGAGATTCTCTAATAAAAGTAAGTGTACTTTGCCACCAGGTTCACAAAATTTTGTTCTAAATACTGCCACGTATCAAAACAGATAGTATACAAATGCTCGGGGCTAACAATAAAACAAGACCTTTTCCCTTCAACCTTTTAAATTAACTCTACTTCCCTTATGAACTTCTAAGCCTACTAGTAAATTTATATTTTACTTCTTCAATTCACTTTTAGATTGGAATACAAAACTCATCAATAAGCTTTTTCTTAGCATTTTTCATACTGAATATTTTATATTCCAAACATATAGTGGTTTTTTTCATTTAAGGTTTTCCCTGAACACATTTATAGAAATTCCCTGAATAACAAAAAGAAAATAATTTTGTTATATTAATTTGATAACTAAAAAGAATTCCAAAGAGAAAACAACTATTTTGCTGCTGTAAGTATATAAAGAATACTTTTATCATTCCACTCACTTCACTGGAATGTATATATGGAAGACATCTGTATAGGAGATAACGAAGTCAGCAGCCAGAGTTAAATACAGCAAGTAAATGTGTGCTGGAATAGGAACAGTTATGGATTTTTAAAGGCCCAGGATTAGCCACCCAAGAATTCTGGCAGTACAGAACATAGCTAACAACTCACAATTTACAAGTAGGTTATAAAAACTCTACAGAGTCATGTTAGTTGGCTAAAGAACTATGAATCTTCCAATTGTAAACTGATAAATTCCTGAATACATTTCTTATACTGCATTTCAGTATGGTTATTAGTGGAATATTGACCTGGCTGTCCATAAAGTCCTTCTGATTCCCGCATTTCTTCATTCATTCTTGCTAACCGTAACCTAAAATTAAATAAAAGGACTTTCAGATGAAGTTATATACATGAATGTTTATGAGTAATTATATAAGCAGATAATACATGTACTAATGCAATTTCGTCCCTTTAGCAGTATTTGTCACTGAAACAAGCTGGGTTTTAGTTTATCAGACCTAGAAATCTAAGGTACAAAAATAAGTATATCTTATCTTCATACAATTATCATGAAAACAGTACGTGTATTTCAGCTCTGTTTGGGCAGGATCCCTGCAACGCCTCTAGTAGTTTGCTTCCTTCACACTCCAGAGAATTCCTGGCTCCCGCAGAAACCTGTCAAATTTTAACTGCCGTATACTGAAATTATTGCTCCTACAGAATAGTTATAGCCTGTTCTTAGTTCACTTTGGCTCATTTTGAGTGAGAGAATTCCCCACATATAAATAGCATGCATTGCCTCTAAATACTGTAAATAAATTTTAATAGACAAGCATCACACAAAAATTATAATACATATAATGATACATACATACATATTGGTTATCAAGATGTTCCTAAGGTTATACATTGATTATTATTCTTTTTATGGATTTATTCTGGCAGTAGGTGACAAATATTTCTTTTCTTTTTCTCTTTACTAATTTTAAGCACATTTAAAAATAGGCAAATATCCCCTTTGGTACCCCTCTCCTACTCAGTACTGCTGACCACCAAATACCCACTGCCTTCCCAGCCTATGTTACACTTTTCTGCTGTCCTCTCTGGCAACTGCCACACCTGACATGGACTTCTCCTGTCTTTAAACTTCCATGACTCCCTCCAACTCCTCTCAACCGCTGTAAGAATTAACAATAGCTCCTTAAGCATTCTCTGTGTGTAAATTTTTAGAGAGGACACATAGTACAAAAATTCTTAAATGAAACTAATGAACTCACATAAAATAGAATGAGAATATTTAAAAATTTGGGAACAGATACAGGTGTTTTGTGAGACAGGCTGTGGCACCACTGAGATAAATCCCCAGTCTCCTAGTCTAATTTTTTGAAATCACTCTTTTCCTCCTATTCTAAATCTATAATGCCTTAGTAGTTTTAGATTTTCATAAAACAGCTTCCACAGTGACAATGATTCTTCTAGTGAGGAAAGAGTGCTTTGCCGTGTTGAATTTGGCAGGGCTCAGCAGGGGCAGCACACAGCATGTCCTGAATCTCAGTAACAGCTCAGATTTTCAGACAGTCATGGGAATTTCTCCTTGTGACTGAGAAGAAGTGTGAATGAGGCTGCTTCTCTACTAAAATGGGAGGTAAATCACTAGTTCTAAGCTTCACTTAACCCAGACGAGAATGAGGAAGTGACTCTGTACAAAATATTCTTCTGGTATCTGAAATACAGGTGATTGTCACATTTCTAGAATCCAAGGATAACAAACTACTTTGTTCCAAGTTTGCATATCAAGAGTCTTCTTCTTGCCAGCTATTGTTTTGGCTGAAGAAGACTGTCGTAGATTTGAGGCCAGCCTAAACAACTTAGCAAGACCCTGTCTCAAAATGAAAAACAAAGAGGGTCAGGGTTGAAGCTCAGTGGAAGAGTGCGTGCCCAACATGTGCACAGCTGAGTTCAATCACCAGTACCATCACAAAAAACAAATTTCTCTTAATAGCTCAAATTAGCTTTTATTCAAACATTCAAAACCATGAATTTTATCTTAATATTAATCAAGGGCCACACCTGCCTGACAAGCACAACATCCTGAGTTCGATTCCTAGTACCAAACAACAAAACAATAAAAACATTAATCAAGTGTTCATGTGAAAAAACTTTTTTAAAACAGATTCCTATCATTATTCAAAGGTAATGCAACTTCTTAAAAGTTACTAACATCAATGCAGCTGTCCTTCCTGCTTATAATCCTCTAAGCCTTGAGGCAGTAGATTTACTCGAACAGTCCTCAACCCCAACCCTAACAGTCTACTAAGAGTTAACTGTTTTAGAGAAGTCACTTCTACTGTCAGGAAATACAGAAGAATTGGCTAGGTTCAAAATTCTTGATATTAAGTTGCAACTCCACCACTTACTAATTTCTTAAACTGTGGTTTGGCCTCCTAAGCTAGAAAATAAGGATAGTAAGAAACAATATCTTCCTCACAGCGGTGTTATAAGAACCAAATCAGACCAGGCACTTAAAAGTGCTTACTACATTTATTGTACTTAGGGAAATACAAGGCTCACAGTAAATACCAACCAAGTCTAGAGTTCACACCTGAGAAAGAATTCCGGTTAACACAGTGCACAAGTAACATCTTGCATGGGAATAACAAAGTAGGAAGGACACACTTACAAGGTTACTATATCAGCATTGGCTGCTTCCACAGCTATGCTCAAAGGGTCCTTCCCTTCTTCGTCAGTGGCATGTTGATTGGCACCTCGCTTTAGGAATAAACATACCTGCCTGTTTAAGGGAACAATATTTTTGAGATATTGCCAACAAGAAGAAAATTAATATTGGCCCTAAAAAATTTAAAGCCCTACCTCATTTAAATGTTTTTGTTAGAAAATTCTTAGTTCATTCTAAAAAATAATGAACAGCAATTCAAATAATAAAAGTTTACAAATATCAGTATTTTACAAGACAAAGTATTTTCACTTATACTATTCTATATAATCTGGGACTGTATAGCATAGTGAGATACATAATTTATGGTCTCTTGCCTCAAAGAATATCATAAAAAGATATGCCAGGGATTTAGCTCAGTGTTTCAGTGGCCTGCCTTGCAAGTGCAAAGACCCGAGTTCAATCCCCACCAAAAAAAATAAAAATAAAAAAAAAATAAAAAAAAAAAAGATATACCCAGATACCAGAACACTTAACAGAAAGGTCACTCTAGGCCATAAAACAGGAAGGATTATGATAGTTTAAGAAGAAAATACAAAGAATAAGTTAAATTCCTTGCCAGTTTTAAGAACAGAAAAGTGTTGATGAGGTTATTGAAATGAATCTTTGTTGATAGAGAAAACAAGTCGAGAGAGAGAGAGGTTATTTAAGACAGGCAGACAGGCATGGTGGTGCACACCTGTAATCCCAGCACTCTGGGAGGCTGAAGTAGAATTCAACGCCAGCCTGGGCAACTTTGTGCCTTAGAGAGACGCTGTCTCAAAATAAAAAAATAAAAAGGGTGGAGGATGAATCACAATGTGAGGGCCATGGGTTCAATCCCTAGTACCACACACACACACACAAACACACACAAAGACAGAAATGCTATTAAAAGAAAAGAATTTAAAAAAGAATACCTTCTCACTTATCCAGGAAATAATAATTGGAAACACTGAAATGTTTCATTTAGGAAAAAATTTACTGTATTATCAGGGCATAATAGCCCACACCAATAGTCCCAGAATTGTGGGAGGCTGAGGCAGAAGGATCTCAAGTTCAAGTTCAGCCTGAACAACTTAGTAACTTAGCAGGACTCTGTCTCACAATAAAAAAATCTTTAAAGGACTGGGGATATAGCTCAGTGCAAAGGCTCTGAAGCAGTCTTCTTGCTATACTGTACAAATACTCATAATCTGAAGAAACAGAGCAAAAAACATTTTAATATGAAAGAATGGGTAGAGCCTATACAGGAAGAATTATAATAGTTCAATACCTAGTATCACAAATAGGTTAATAATTTTTAAAATAAAAAACAATAATCACCTATGATAATTTTTTTGTATAACACCTCTATTTCTACTTTATTTATACTATCCAATAGAAAGTCCATTTTCATAGCTTTACTGCTCTGTAAGTCTTAATACTGCTCTAGATATCACAATGTCAACTGCCTAAACTAAGAGTTTAGTTTGTAATTTGACCAGCTACACTAAACATTTAAGGTATAAATACACTTAGTTGTCTGACGAAATCATCACAATTTCAGTAAAAGAGAAAGTAGTAAAACTGAGCTATTTAATAAGTTAGGGTCAAAGTAAGCTCGGCAGTTTTCATATCTAAAAAACCATAGTTTTTTTAAATCAGTTTTTAATTTTCAAATTCCATCACTGACAATGTAAGTCATAGGGACACATCTTTTTATACACTATCTCATGACCTCAACCTGAAAAGGCAAAACATTATTTCAGAATGATTTTTTCAAATAAAATCTCTCCAAATATTTAAACACTATAATTACCCTGTGTGTCCTAAGACGGTGGCATGGTGCAGTGGTCCCCGCCCTCGGACGTCTCTTTGGTTCACATTAGCACCATTCTGGAGGAGGAACTCACATGTCACCAAAGAGCCCTTAAAGGGAAAAAGAGTAACAATTTATAAATGCAAACAACAAGAAGAGCAGTATATTTCTATTTAAAAACAGTATTTTTGTTTACTCAAAGAGCATTTCCATTTCATTTTCCTTCTAAAAATACCCCCAGAAAAGCAGAAAAATATTGTATTAGTTACTTCTCAAGAACCACTTCCAATAGGAATCCATTTACAGTTTATGATCTAGCAAAACATACTACAACTTTTATTATCAGAATTTTTTTCCATTGTAAAAAGAAAAGAAAAAGCTGAAACAAAGCGATGCTCAGCAATCACTATGAGGTACGCAGAGGCATCATTATTTTTCAGCATATCTTTTAAAGGAAAAAAACAGCAATAATACCAAAGCTGTGTTCAGAATTTATTATAACTTATATTTTACTACCAGTGAAAACCTTAATGCATAAATTCATACCCCTAGTACAGCCTGAATAAGTGGTGTTGCTTTGTTTTCCTCTGAATTAGCCCAGTTCACATCTGCACCATGAGCCAAAGCCTCAGCCATTTTTGGAAGATTTTTCTCATACGAAGCTCTATAAAGCTGAAGTCCTGGATTAAGATGTTTAGAGTCGGGAAACACAGAAGAATCTTGTTTTTCTCCTTCTGAACAGCAAACACAAATACATTAATAAAAATGAGCTCTTAGCAAGGAAAGGATGAATTGCTTAATAGGTGGAGTTTCAGTTCTGCAAGATAAAAAGAATTCTGTGGATAAATAGGGTAATGGTGGCATAATAAAATGAATATATACTTAATGCCACTGAACTGTACATTTAAAAATTGTTATAATGGTAAATTTTGTGTTAAATTAACTCTTAATAACGTATCACAATGTGAAAGTTGTGATGTAAGAGAAACCATTAATCTACCATAATAAGCTTATGGGAGATTTTCACATAGATATCTTGGTTCCTGTAATCACATCCCGAATACTCAACCTCCTCTTACAAAGACATCAACCAGTATGCTCCATCTTTTGTGCTCCTGCTTATGTTCAATGGCAAGGACAATTACTCTATTAAAACTGGCTGCATTCCTACAAGCCTAGACTGAACAGGAATCCAGAATCCTGGAAGAATTTTACTACTAGATCAAACTACTCTTCATTCTAAGGATGATCCACTACATTTGCATTTTGGCCTATAACTTGTTCAAACAATTTGAAGAATGTTTACTCCCCTGAGAATTCTGAAAGACTGAAATCACAGTAGAGAGAATGTAGGACTACAGCACTGAGAAGAAAAACTTAATAGCAAGGGAGATGACTGTCTCCCACCTGGTAAGATAGCCACAAGGAAAGATATAGAATGAAGACATAAAGTACATGTGGATTAAAAATAATCCTTCCTATAGGAAGACACTTAGAACACATCAGGAAGCTTGGAAGAATGTGCAACGAGTAGTGAACGTCCAAACTGTAAGAGAAATAGGTGCGTTTTCACTTAACAATATTACTCCCTCCTTAGTACCTTCTAAGTTTCCTTTAGAAACGATTTAATCAAGACCAGGTATTTACGCATGGATTTTTCAGCACAATGTACCAATTAACAGTGGATTTCATCAACTCACCAGGCTCATATAAACTACTGGCTGACACTGTGGACGGTAAAGATTCTCTTCCATCATCACAGCTTTGCTGGATCCCACTGTCATTACTTTTGACTATTTAAAAAAAAATTAGCCAGTGATTAAAGTTCATATCATCTGGAATATAATCTTGAACAACCAACAAGGTCTTAAAATGAGCTTTTACATGTCAACATGAACTCAGTCACCACCAGTGGACTATATTTAATACAATTTTAATCCTTCTGAACACTTATTGTGATATAAATCAATCACAAAGTCTGAAAATAAACTTTATTTTCAGAGTTGTAACACATCTCATTACTCCATAAAATGTCAGGGGTATTAAAAGCTTAATTTACAGTATGACTGTAAGTAATGTGTAATTCTGAGACAATGGGTAACATCTAGAGAAATGGCCACACCGCACAATGACCACTGGCACAAACTTGGAATGCTCCACAAGAGTAGTACTTACTACTACGCAGTTTTGAAGAAGTATCAAAGTAGGAGAAGAGTGAATCTAGCTCATCAGGACAGAAGAGAGACTCCCGCCTGGCCTCGTCGCTATTTACAGCAACCACTGGGGTCATGCAAGTTAGCAAAGCACAAAGCAGGCCATAAGAAGGGAAAAGGGCAGGAAAAAACGTTACTGGGAAAATTTTAGGAGGAAAAAATAGGAAGGAAATCAGGTAGTTAATCAGATACTCAGGGTTTTTTGGCATGATAGATTAATAATCCCCGTCTCCCCTATTTTAAGCAGTTTTATGTGAATTACCATGGTACTATTTAGATGCAAGTTTTGTTTTTTGTTTTTTGGGTTTTTTTTTGGTACCGGAGATCGAACTCAGGTCTTTGCGCTTGCAAGGCAGGCGGCAGAACCACTGAGCTAAATCCCCGGCCCTAGATGCAAGTGTTTTAAAGACAAAGAAATCTAGTTTCTCCTTAAAATATGTTGAAGGAATCAGGTTTATAGCATTTAAAAAAGTTTACAATGGTTATTAATTCAGAGATGAGGGAAATGACTTCAGCTCAAGACAATATTAACATTAAAAACAAGAAAGATGTAATACCTGAACTCTGGATAGATGCTCTGATTGGGTCACCTGGCCCAAGTTTAGAAATGCTCAGCCTCTTTTCTTCACAGCCTCTGGAGACAAACTTTTTTTCCTGCTCAGAAGGTGATGATGATATAGAATATTTATCCACAAATTTTCTCTCCACATATTTTGCTTTGATATAGGCCTCTTTCTCCTGTCTGGTATACATAAAAATGTCATGATGTTCTGCTTAATCCTTGGCATAGCTACTACTCAAAAGATTGAGTATACATTATACTCAATTATTATACATTGAATATTTTCAAGCAAAGTCATTGGATATGACACACTTAAAACAATGTGTGACATTATACAATATTTCTCTTCCAAATATTTAATGAACTGATTTCACTGTCAAATGAAATACAAATAATACAACCTAAATGAAAAGTGACACATATTAATATGGCACTTTGATTTTTAGTTTGTGTTCATTCATTTCTATATAAATTCCCTCACACTTTTTAAGAATGAAAAATATTACCAGGAAAACAATAAAAATATATAGAAATGAATTTTAATTTTGTTTATACTCAAAGAGATAATCACATAATACTGACAAACATAATTTTTCATAAGATAATTACCTTAAAACAATATAGCATTCCTAATTTATAGAGGAGAAAAAGATGTCACATTTTAAACTTTTGATTTATGATACAATCATCAAATACCATATCTGCTCTATAGTTTTTTTTTTGGGGGGGGTTGGTTTTTTGAGACAGGGTCTCACTATGTAGTTGAGACAGACCTGGAACTCACTATGTAGCCCAGGCTGGTCTTGAACTCACAGTGATCCTCCTGCCTCAGCCTCCCAAGTGCTGGGATTACAGGCATGCGCCACCACGCCTGGCTCTGCTCTATAGTTTTTATTACTTATAGCCTTTTAAACTGCTTAGGTCTTCAGCTAAAAGAGAAGGGTATTTTCAGGTTTTAAATATCTCAGTCGTTCTTTTACATATATAAGATTCTGATTTAAATTATACTGTCTTAGAAAAATTTTTGACAAAGGATTATGGCAAAAATGAAATCTGAATGCTAAAAATAAAAAAACGATGACTAAAAGTAGCACTGAGTACAAAAAGTATGTGTCTCCAAGGCACTGACTGACTGACTCCTGGCCACTTCGTAAATAAGCCTCGGTATATAAAACTGGGAATATAATCTCAGACACAGCAATTAAGTTCTCTCTTCTACTATAGCAACCTTTCATCCTCAATTCCTCAGTATCAAAATGCATGCATAAAGTATGTGATCAACAAATATTTGCTGAACTAAGTCCAACAATGTTAAATTATTTCATTATAGGCAGTAGGAACTCGATCCTTAGAAACTTTAAGGGACAGACTATATCTTCTGAATGCCTGCCACCAAAAGAACTTTAATCATCTACTGTAACGGCTAGGAATATTCACATTTCTAGGTAGAGTTTTAATTTTAAGATTCCTTCTCATCTGAAAACTATGATATGCTCAAAATACAATTAATCTATACAAGACAGAGATAGTCACATGTGAACAGAAGCAGACATTACTATTTTTAAACACTAGCTCAATGCTATATGTAGTTATAGTGAAATAAAAGCACTGCTGTATTCCTGATTAGAAAAAAAAAGGTAGCACATCAAGATGACTGGAATAGTACCTTTGTCCTGGTTGTGGTTTCTTGATTCCCATTTTTTCCACTTTAGCTTCATAAACACGATTTATAACATCATTTCCCAACTCACACATAAGCTGTTTGACAGAAAATAGAAAAGCGAGCTATATAAATTAGAAGTCTTTAAGATAAGCTAAAATACGAAAGTTCTTAAATCAACCTCTCATTCTACAAGGAAATTAAAAGTTAAAATGAGACAAGGAATGAGAGTAACACTATCATTTGGCCATTCTTCATCAGAGTACCTTCCCTAGAGCACTGCCACTCCTATACCAGATTCTATGTATATACACAGATACATGAAATCAACCTCTCTATCCACAATTACCATTATCTACATGCTCATGTTAGAACAAGATGTATGACAACAGAGCATAACCTATATACTTAGGTATAATTACTACTGGCCAGTCTTAGGAAAATAAGTTCAATGTCCATGCTTTTCAGTTTTCTCCTCACTTCCAAAGAAATATTCAAATCTGTCAAATGTACGACTTTATGGAAATTATTTTGGGGCTTTTTCCTCTCCTTTAAAGGAGCTCCTCCTTCCAATGTTAACGAATTCCTTGTTATACGTCCCAAAGCCTTTTAGGTTTTCCTCTTTATCTGTCCATTCATGGCTTTAATTTGGTTTGCACTTTCCTTGCCTCCTTAACACATTACACAACCTCATGGTGACCCATACTGCTTCCAGTTGTGCCCCGTTCCAGGCCTGACCCTACGCCAAACATGCTGCTTATGCCAAGATTCAGATTCCCCAAACCATTTTCCTGAACATTTTATCTGCATAAAAAGGACACTGAGTGTACACTGGGATGACACAATCGGCAGGTGCAGAGAACACAGTTAAGATGAGCTGGTGGGAAGGCAAAAGGCTTAGGGTAAGACGGCAAGATGAAAAACACAATCACAACAGGAGCAGAATCTGAGAAGGGCAGTCTAAGAAAGGGTACATTAGGCAGGCATGAGAAAAAGGTTTCCTTTTTCCTCCCGAGTCTGGGTCCTTTCAGAACCTCTTGACTTCTGAGACATCCTCGTCTTACCAGGGTATCCTGCCAGGGTATCCTTGCTTCTGCTGCACCTCTGTCCCCTTTCTCTCCCCTTCCTTCTCCCCACCCCTCCCTCTTTCTTTCTTTCTTTCCCTGACCCCAATGCACAAGTACTTCTTACATTATTTGCCATTTTTCAGGGGGTTTTGTTTTTATTACTGTGTTTAGGGGTGGGGCTCGTTTTGGTTTTCTTTGGGTTTTGCTTTTGCCAGTGCTGATGACTGAATCCAGAGCCTTCACATGCAAGGCCAAGTGCTCTGTCAGTGAACTACATCCCTCCTCAGCCCTACTTCCACTTTTACATATCACATTGTTTTCATTTTTACTTTATTTTATCTTATATTATTTTTGTGGTGCTAGAGATTGAATGCAGGGCTTCACACATGCTAGGAAGGTACTACACCACTGAACTACAGTCACAGCCCACATTTTTTATTTTTAAAATAAAGACACCAATTATATTCAGATAAGCCTTTCAAAAAATCATCTCACTGTCCTATAAGATAACAGACACAATACAAAATAAGAATTTGTAGCAACCAACCCCATTTACAAAAATTTATTGTAGAACAAAGGATAAACAGCAAAATGATGAGAGAAGAAAGGATTGCTTAACAACTGATACTCGGATAAGAATTTTGATCCAGGTGTAGCAGAGTATACCCACAGTCCCCACCTCAAGAGGCTGAGGCAGGAAGAGCACTTGAGCCCACAAGCTCAAGACCAACCTGGGCAATGTAATGAGACCCCATTTCAAAGAAATAAGTTAAAAAAAGAAAAAAGAATTCAGAAAAAATACCAAGACTTAGGGATATATTTTACATTATCCAACAAATAAATTCACACATACACCCTAATTAAAACTTATAAAATACTCTTATAAAATGAGGTAATTTCAAAAATTACCAAAAAAACCAAAATTTTATTAGGAAAAATAAATTAGGGGAATCACTATTTATTTTCCAAAATATTACATTTGCATACTATATTCAATCATTATCTTTAAACACTTTAAGATATTATAAAAAGATGAAATAAAAGTCTAAAAGACTATTTGGCAAAATATTAATAAGAGACAACTTTGAGCGAAGACGACAGTTACTGTTGGGATTTTTTTCTCTTTTTCTGTTGATTATTTTAAAATTTATCTTTGATATATGTTATTTTAATTTAAAAGTAAGGGTTTACAAATCTTACCTTAATTGCATCTAATTAGTCCTTTTTCCTGCACATACTTGCCTAAGGGAAAAGATTTCCCCATCTCCTCCCCTATAGTTCTAGAATAAATACCAAAGCCATCTTAATCTCAGTATTGCACCTCTGTCATGCCTCCAGTAATACCATCTGACTTCTGTTTCTTCCCAAGGAGTTCTCTTACTCTTCTACATTATTCATTGTCCTATTACAGCCTTGTAATTATAAACTTTAGATACTTTGAAGCTCTCTGACTTGTCTTAACTACAAGTAAGAGGGATAATTTGGCTTTCCTCTAGAAAGGCCTGACTCAAACTACTTCTTTTTAAGTATCCTCTCTGGGTGATGAACCTATGACACCTGTGTTACTGTGTAAAATATGAAGTATAAGCATACAAATATTTTACCTTTAAAAGTTCAGGCTCCCAGGTGTCTAAAGTTAAAGATCGTACTTTTGAAAAATGAACCCCAAGACTCCTATGTGGGGAGAAAAAAAGGACTGCATTATTCATTAATATAAAACTATCAAGTTTCTATTCTACTTGTATATTTATGCAAATTATTTTTCTCTTTTAAAGTAGTATAGGCTCTAATATAGCCATGAATATACATAAATAGGGCTAGATATTCTGATTAATAATGGATGAACAGAAGTTCTTGAAAGCACTTTATAAACCAGAACTTTAGCCACCTTATAAAAGGTACAAAGATACAATCTGGTAGTTAAATTAAAAAAATGAAGATTATTCTCTAACAAATGGAACACAATAATTCCCAATATGTGTTTATCTGACGGAAGCCTCTCCTCTGGGCAGGCCTACCTACCGGTGAATCCCAGAGCACTCGATACACAAGGTGATACCCAAGTTGATGCTGGCCCACCTCGGATCTGCCTGGCCACAGTCACAGCAGCTGGCATTGCCAGGGATACACTGGACCCGTTGCAGTGCACTTTCTCCCTTCAATAATTTCTCTTTTGACTCACTTCCAGAATCTAGACTTCCTGTTGATGGAGATGATTTCTTATCCAGCTTCTAAAAGAATTAAGAAATATTTAGTTTTGCTTATTAAAAGAAGACGACTGTGATATTATGCTGCATGCTGCATGTGCCAGACAAAAGCTTCCAATTCATAAATTAATGGTCTATAATGGGTGTAAGTCAGGCACTATACTAAGCACTGGAGATTAAAGAATAAGAAGATATAGGATCTTCTATTAATGAATGGACTTTTAGTCTAGTGAGAAAAAACATAAATATTTAAAATTATATATATATATATATGTGTGTGTGTGTGTGTGTGTGTGTGTGTATATATATATATATATATATATACACACACATATATAACCAATATAACAAACATGTGCAAAATAAGAAAGGCAGAGAGAAGGGAAACACTATTTTAACATGCAAGCAAACATGAGACTCTTAAGACTCAAGAATAAAATACTATTTTATACCACATTTTTCCAAGGTATGTAGTTAACTGTAAGCAGGCTATTTTAGTTATTACAGTGAATAAATTTTTAAAAGTATAACTTTACATAGTTAAATACTAAAACAGATCAGCTACATCATTTTAATTACAGAGCAAAATCAACAATAAAACACAAGATGCCTAAAATTTTAAGGGCTATTAGGTAAATGAGACCGATACGCAAAAAGTTAATTTTTAAGTATGCAACAAGATTTATACCACTAATAAAGAATATTTAAAAAGCATTTGTCTATACATGTCAATAATGACCAAATACAAAAATGTGGCTCACAAACTCAAAACAATTAAGATTGAGTCTATAAAGTCTCTAATTTAAAAGCATTCCAATCTTAGCAAACCAGTTTGTTAGCTTTGAATCATTAGAAATACAATTTGGCTCTTGTTTTGTCCTTTCTGGAAACTCAACTCCATAGCCATCAGACGGGACCAGCAAGTTTCAGAGATGACTGAGCTGCATGAGATATGTATCTACTCAAGGGCACAACCCTGTGCATGTTCCTGGATCCCACGCTGGGTAAGGATGTCTGCATAGGGAGGCAGTCCGGCAAGGGAAAGAGGAGCCTGAGTAGGGAGAGGAGGGCATGTAAGAAGGAGTACCAGGTACCTAGAGTGGTATGAGGGCTTGAGTGGGCTAAAAATAGTGGTGCACAGCTGGGAGGACAAAGTAGGGAGCAAGTGGCAGCAGAGACAGGATATTAGTTACATTCAGAGGGATCGATCGTAAAGTAAACAAATAAAGATAAATGGAGGCTGAATTTCTTACTGCAGAGAAAGGAATTATTGTAAGAAAGAGGAATACTAGAATAAATCCTGTTATAATGAATTAGAACCAAATTACCTCTAGGCACACTAATGGTTTATAATATAAACAGATAAAGCAAAATAGGTGTAAATGTATACACGCATATTATAAACCTTACCGTGGTTTCTAAATGTAATTCTCTACTAAAAGAAACTAGGGTTCTTTAGAGAAATGATTGACGTCGTGTCTAGTGAAGAGAAAGCACAAGAAAATGAATGTGAAACATCTTGTCACATTGAAAAGTAAAGACGTATTCAAAGATCAGCAGAGCCAAATCCCAAGTATGAAGAAGGTGCCACCTCCAAATACTTCGTTTTGAACACATTTATCCATCCTTCTTGCCATTTTCTGAAGCAATCTTTTACTCTAATAAGGTTTTTAAATTCAAACATTCACCATATTTTTTAATCACGCCTTATAATTTCCTGCCAAAGATTAATAAACTCACGAGTAAATGGCTGACAGCCCCACACTAAGGAACATTCTACACAACAGTATGTAACTATCAGGGTCAAGAAGGTCAAGGTAACACTGAGGAACAAGTCATGACTACGGGATTACACGACAATGAAATGCTACCTGTGCTCCTGAACTGAAGCTTTTTGCTGTAAAGAACATTACTGAGACAACTGTTAAACTTGAATGGCGTTTGGGAATTAAATGGTAGTAATTTATTGGGCTCATCTTTTAACTTGACAGCTATACCATGACTGTGCAGGTGGATGTCCCAGGTCATAAGAAAGGGTAATAATGGGTAATAGAGCATCATGTTGGCAATTCACTCTCAAGTAGGTTAGGGAGAGAAGGTTACTTGTATTGTACTTGGAACTTCATGTAAGTTTGAGATTATTTTTTTAAAAACTGTTTAAAGCAATATTTATCAGAACATGCTTGATAATGTGAAGTTATCTCACATGCAGTTGTCAAACAAGGAAAGGATGTCAGTATTATAATGCAGAAATCATGTTGGTTCATCCCCAATTCTTCTTTATGCACTAACATTTTTGCACCAAATTTGAGAAGCTACAAGCCAAGTATGCTAACACAGTGTAACCTTGGAAAGCCAATCCAAGGAACATAGCACTGAAAATCAAAGTGGAAGGAATGACTGCCTCACAAACAGATCTCAGGGTTCCTCAGCCTCACACTCTTAGTGTACTGCTCTCTACATACAAGAACATGAAAAGACTCAAAAGTTTATTCTCTAAGCAATAAAACAGTCTCTGGATGGGGTTCACATGGGTGAAGGGCAGGAGACTGAGTTAATATATACACACCAAATGCTAAGATGCCCAACACTTGCTTTCCTACCAGCCCCTCACCCCTATGTGGGAGATCATTGAGTTTCTCTGGGAAATCATACAGCCAAAAAGTCTCCAAAGATCCTGACTCAGGTGGCTGCACAACAAACAGTCCAGACTTGAGTGTAGCTTACAATCAACAAGGTCTCAAATATGTGTTCAGAAGTGCCAAGGGGTTTGTAGTAACTTGTATATTACCAGCCAAGGAAAACCTCTACCACAGTGATTCTCAAATTTGCTCGTTCATGGAAATCTCATAGGAAGCTTTTAAAAATACTGATGCCTAGTCCCCAATTCCATTCAATTCTCCTGGCTTAAGATCGAAGCGAGGAGACTTTTTAAGGCTCCATGTATTATTGTAAGTCGAGGTTAAGAATCACTCTAACTTTACATCCATGACAAAAGAACAAGTTTAGCTGAACAAACATTCAGTGAACAAAGAGGAACATTGGGAAACTGTGCTAACAGAACGGAAATACTCAACAGACGATTTTTTTTAGCTTATGAGAAGGATGGATGGGGGTGTGAGGGAGACTGAAGGGAAATGAGATGAAAAAATGTTAGGATTGTGAAGCGTTGTACACAAGTCCCTGCAAGAAATGTTATCATCATATACTAGACACATGAATAAATATATATCATCATCAAAAGAATAAACAAAATCAGGGCTGGGGATTTAGCTCAGTGGTTCCGCTGCCTGCCTTGCAAGCACAAGGACCTGAGTTTGATCCCTGGTACAAAACAAACAAACAAACAAACAAACAAACAAAAAAGGAATAAACAAAATCAGCAAACTCCTATTCAATTTTACCAAAAAAAGGAAAAAAAAAAAAAAAACCCAAACAAACAAAACCAGAGTACTATCGTTACAATTCTTAAAGTTAATTATCTCCAACCTAAAAATATGCCCAGCCAAACTACCAAATAAATGTGAGGCATAATAAAGGCATTGTTGGGCATGGCTCACTTTTGGGAAGATTCTGGAAGTTTTTCTTAAGACAAGGAGAAAGATTCAGGACACAGGAAAGAGCAGAATCTCCAAAACTGATTACATAAGGAAATCCTGACTATTAGCAATGGTGCAGGACTAGGGTGCAACTGATCTGGATTAGAGAAATGTGATTCAGGTGACAGATTTTTTTTAAGGGCTGTCTTCAAGATTGCCTCTGTCAAAGTTTCCACCATTTGTATCCCTTTGCTGCTGATGAAATTCCTGTTCTCCCCTTGATGCCTCACCTGCTTGGATCAAGTAAGCAGTCTCAGTTCCTGCTAAGGAAGAGTTCTGCTTTGAGGTACTGGGGGATACAAGTTGGCCATGATGAGTTTTGAAATACAACTCAGAGAGCATTCCATTTCCCTTACCATATTTCTATCCCTCAGCCCCCCAGAGGACCCAATAGCAGTGATTTCATTTCCAAAGGCTCACTCACAACCTTGCCTAAAAACCCAACCTAAGGTGGAAAACTACATATTAAATTTATCTTTTCCAAGGAGGCTTCAACTAAGAGACAGTATTATGCTTTTTGTTTTACTTTGTTTTTTTTCTTTCTTTCTTTCTTTTTAAAGACAGGGTCTCATTACGTAGTTCAGGCTGGCCTAAAACTCAAGGTGATCCTCCTACCTCAGCCTCCTGAGTGCTGGGATTACAGGCATGCACCACCATGACTGGCTGTTTTTGCTTTTTACTCAATTTTAATTTTGAAAACTTTTATGGTAATTATTTTCTTATTTCTTAATTAAAATAGTAAAATATTTTGGGGAAAAACACATCATCAGAAAGCCTTACTCCAATCTGGGATGTATATTTAAATATTAAAATAAAGATTCAAATATTGAAATAAAATGATGAGTAAAATCAAGAGAAATAAACAAGAGAAACAGATTTTCAAAACTCATTTCAATTATATAAAACATCTCCCATTAAAAAAGTTGTTATGATCATATAGTAATGCAACTAAAATTAAAAACTCCTGGCAACATATATCACTTGGTATTGATAGCACCTCTACTAACCTCCGAGTCATCACCCTTCTCTCTATAAGCAGTTGCAATACTGGTCTGAACAGCCTTAATCCACGCCTGCCGCAGCTTTTCAGAATCTGCCTGGAGCATGCAACTTCTAAAAGAAAATAACATATTGCTTTGTCAGACACTAAATTAACCAGAAAAAAAGCAAGCCCATTAGCTTCAATTTTTGCTTACTTTGATATTTAATAATTTTCTAGCAAAAAGTAATTTTCTATTGAAAACAAAGGTTTAATTTCATCTATCTTTAGGACAATGCATATTCAAGAAAAAAAAATCAGGATGCCAGTGAAACAAATTATCCCTTGAAAACTAATCTGCATATTAAAATTTTTAAATAAGCCCTTAAATTTATGATATGAACATAGCATTCTTTATTATTTATTTGTTTGTTTGTTTGTTTGTTTGTTTGTTTTTCTTGCAGTACTGGAGATTGAACCCAAGCCCTTCCATGTAGCTATGTCCCTAGCCACTTTTTCTTTGGAGGCAAACTCTTACTGTCACCAAGCTGCCCAGGCTGGGGTTGAATTTGTGATCTTCCTGCCTTAGCCTTGCAGAGTACTGAGATTTTATAAAACGATCATTCTCAAAGCAGTTCATCTGAATTATGATTTTGGTCCATCATTATAGCTGAACAATTTTTCACATGGGCACATAAATAATCTTTACAGAATTTAAAGAATATAATCCACCCAGGAAGTTATGTAAGTATATCTATAATATCAGTGGTCATAAATTATTAAAATTTATTTTTAAAATACATTTTTTGTTTAGCACAGATAATCAAAACTGCAAATTTCTCCATTCTAGAAATTTAAGACAAACTATAGAAATATAAAAGCAATTTTCAAATTCCTTAGAATACTTACTTCGTGGGAGAGACCACCTCAAAGCAGAATCGTCTTTCTATGTCTTCACAGTGCTTTACTGTGCAGAGCCTGAGATCTTCAACTACAACTGTAGGGTTATCCTGCAAAACGGACACAAAGTTTCCATATTTATCAACATAGGTTTTAAATATTACCAACTTTACTTAAAATTACAGAGAATGAATGGTCTAATTTTAAAGATTTATATTTTATTTTATTGCAGATATAGGTAGGGGTTACTGAACATGATTCTCAGTCTCATAAAATGATTAGTGAAATTGTTTTTACAAAGAGCTTGGTTAATGCTCCATACATAGTATATTCAATAGATGTTAGCTCCCTCTTAGTTTTCTTCCATATTCATTCAGATCCATTATTCTCTCCATCTCTATTCAAATATAACAACAGCTACACTTTCCTCCAAAGAGAACCCTTTAAAGAATCATGTTTTTAAACCGCAGCCAGGTGTGGTACACTCCTGTAATCCCAACAGTCGAGAGGCTCAAGTCTCTCGATTGTTCAGAGTTCAAGACCAGCCTAAAACTAAATAGGCAAGACCCTGTATCAAAACAAAACAAAACCCTCAAAGATGTTTATAAATCCTTTTAAAATGTCCTTTAAAAAGAGAAAGGTTCTACTACTTAATAACAATGCTAACTCAAAACCAAGTCTATCCCAGTAGAAGAAACCACAAACTACTTAAAGGATTTATAAGAAATAAACCTACTACAGGACCTAGTATGCAAAATTTCACATTATGCCATCTCAAGAGTTAAGTGGGTATTTACCATTCACAAAGATAAACTAAGTGAAAACTAAGTCATCAGTTCACAAATTTTTTTCTAACAATTTTTAATATTCTCAAATTATAAGTAACCCCAATTATAAAAATCTTTACCCTTAAAGTTCAGGAAAACAAACATGAATATTAATAAATTGAGGGGTATCTATTTAAATTACTTGAACGTACATTTCAGTGTCATTTTTAACCTCTCTCTATTATCCCTGTTGGTCCTAAAATGGTATTTCTTAAAAAGACACACTGTACTTTAGTCACAAGATAGTACTGTGGAATGGTGTCATGATTACTGTCACACAGAGAGAAACAGACTGAGAAACAACCCTGGGGCAGAGAAAATCCATTGCAAAGCTAAGATTGGAAATCGCTCTCCTTTTGAGGATCAAATGCTGATGCTTCCACTGAGGTCTTCATATGCATGTCCACACAGAAAACAAACCATGAAGACAGGAATTTGGCACATGAGCATTTCTGGAGTTCACTGTTTACTAAGACAGATAAAGAATAAATATTGGGAACTCACTGGGTTTTCATTTACTTAACAACAAAACACCTACCTTAAACTTTTTCTGGTAAACCAGCTGATTGTTCTGTATTGAAAACCAGCGTCTAAATAAAGATAAAATACATTATGTCTTCATAAACCTAATTTACTTCTGTTGTTGGTAGAAATGAAGTATTTGAGAAAGCATTCACAAATCAGGTTATGGTAATTATGTTGAGAAGTGTATTCTTATTTTGCTTTATGTAAACTAATAGTACTATGAAATAGCTACTAAAAATTAAGAACCAAGTATTTTAAAACCACAGATTAAGAAAATAAAATTACGGCCAGGTATTTAGCTCAGCGGTTCAGTGGCCTGCATTGCAAGCGCAAGGACCCGAGTTCAATCCCCGGTACCAAAAAATAAAAATAAAATAAATAAAATAAAATTAGTATATTTTGATTCATTTTGTATCATAAATTTATTTGCCTACAAAAGCTGTTATTTTTACATTATCATCAAATAATTCTTTTAAAATACAAATGTATCATTTTTTAGGTTCCCCAAAATAAATGAAACCTTTCCTTCAAAACAGTAACTTTTATTGCAAAGTTAAAGTTCATACTGTGAATAAAAACATCCATTTGTGTATAATTAAACATTAAGATAAGTGGTGCTTTATTTTCAATCTTTTGGTAGATAATTTAGCAAGTGCTTGATTTAATAAGCAAAACAAAAAATTAATCATTTTGAATTTTATCAAACAGGAAATAATCACCAAATAACTTGGCCTTACTTTCATATAAAATACTTCTAAGGAAAATAATCAAAGTTATTACAATAAATGATTCATTCACTCAACTGTATAATTCTGCTCATTGTTGTAAATCATTAGGAAAACAATTTATTTGCAATCTTCTTTAGAAGAAAAGGCTAAGCTGTATGTCATACTAATTACAACTTATTAAAACAATAAAGATCTAGACTCAGAAAGAAATAACAGCCAAAAGCCATTCATAAAAGGAAGCAAAACTTCTCATCAAGCATGAAAGGTAAAACAATGAGTCATTATTTTAAAATTAGTTTCATGTGAAATGATTTCATTACAAGTATTAGTTATTAATCTATTAGCAGATATTCTACCTTTTCGTTGATGCTAATACAAAGTACTAAAAATTATATTTGGTCTTTTAGAATTTCTATTCCTAACAATTTGGTTACTTCTCCAAAGCTAGGAGATCAATCATATTTAAGTCTTTTACTGGACTGTTAGGTTTTCTTGCCACTTAAAAATAAACATATAGATAAAACAAAGTGGGTTGCCACAAATCATCCAGAGGCACCCTAGAAAAGGAAGAACTTCTGGGTGTCTTTGCTTCGCAGAGACAGTTGTTAGAAATGTTAAACTCCCTACACGCAAACAAAATGGTGCAGCCCTGCCACATGGGATGACATGCAATGGATACAATCTCTGAAGTGATTAAAGGGTATCGTTTTTTCAAATCATTTGAAGGATGCTGAACTATATTAATAAGGATTCATAGATTTTGTATAGTGGCAAAAATATTACATGATTCGATGAAAACTATAGTTTTACTGAAAAATGGAAAAGCACCCATATGATCATGCTAACTTTTCATGCTTCTGAGGTCTTCAAAAAATAATTGCTTTTGACCTACTGCATCTCAGGATAATATTCTGTGAAAATAATAATAAAACACTAGATGAAAACTTAGGATTTTGTAAGAAATTATTCCCTCTGATGACTAAATTTATGCACCAAACGTATTTCTGAAGCCCACTTCCCCTACTTATCTGCTTCTGGGTAACATTCCCACATTATCAGTTTCTGTACTCTTGATAAAAACAACACAAATTCATCTTAATTGGATTCCTAATAAAGAAAAAGGTCACACAATAGACCATAGTTGGAAAACATATTTTAATTAAAAAGGTCTGTATGTCGTATGACACTATCTCCCCATGCTGCCATTAAACATAAAAAAAGCTAACTACACTCATCCAACATTGACCAACACTTTAATCAGGAAAGTAAAATGGAATGTAATTTTTAATTATAGAATAATCCTAGTTATTAACATTTCTAAGAAAGGGAAAAATGAGAAAAATAGATCATGGCCTGCAGAATATAGGGAAAAAGACTTAATATTTTAAGCCTTTAGTACTTGAAACTTCAAAGTACTAGAAAAAAAATACTTAGATCCAAAGACACAAACTTTACAAAGCATTGTGCTAACAATATTATACTATCCTGTACTCCACAAGATTAAGAAACTGAGCACAAAGCCAAAACATAAGGCAATTTCTAAAAAGGAGTATCTGTTGTTCACTAGGAAAAATAAAAATACCATTTTATATCTATCTCAACTTGAAGAGATTCAGTATATTTTAAACCAGAATATTAAATTCATTAAAAATATTATTAATTTTTATATGCAATGAAAGCTTCCAGATTACAAAATAGGGTAGGGAAGGAAATATACAGAGTCCACAAAAAAGAAAAGAAAAGTGTACACACTTCAGGAAAAAAAAATAGCACTTTATTTTTTTCAACAGATGGTATTAGTCTCATATGGAGGCCCCTAAAGGATGTCATATTTCGCACAAACCCATTACACTGCCCGCCCTTACAAAATTAACTGAAAATGCAAGTGCAGTAATCTCAATGACCAAGGTTACCCAAGCAGTAGTTTGCCGTACTAATAAATGTGTGGAAGCTCATGGCCACCACTTTGAGACTCTTGTAATTGTAGAGGCCAAAGGTAACTTGCATTAATCTCATCATGTCTCCGTAAGTTTAGTATTCAAATATTTATACAAGTTTTCCCTTCCCTGAAGTATGTATTAATTATTAGACAGACTGTGTGTACTATATAATCTTTTCCTATATTTAATCAGTAGTTCCAGAACTGCACTTGAACATGAGTAAGTAAAAGAATCTACAGAAACTTTACCACTAAAACTATAAAGTGATGGGTTCATGTACATATTCATAAAGATGCCATGTAGATTAACATTTATTAAAAGTTTAAATGTTCCTTTAGATTCAATTTGTTTCTCACAGTGAAGAAAATGTCAAAGCAAAGAAAATTTAGGAACTGACAATGTATTCTTTCAACATAATATGATTACCAAAGGTACTAATTCTACTTCCTTAAATTTTTTTAAAGATTGCTACATTTTCCTTGTTTAAAAAACAAAGTCATAAAGATATTTATAATCTGCATCATCTTTGAGTGATTATAAGCACATCAAATGTTCTTTTACAGATTGACAAGATGGGCAATTAAAAGGTGTAATTTCATTCCTCAAATGAAACTCTTATATTTTCTTCTCAATTTAAAATATAAAGAGACTCTATATCCATTGCAAGTAATCCCACAGAAATGCAGGTTAATTATGAGCTCTCTCGTGCCAAAGAGGAAACTGGAATAAGATGAGGATGAAGGGAAGGAAGCCATTTGGTACCTGATATGATCGGGCTTTTTCCTGTCATGTGAAAAAATGGGGCAGGATTAAAACATAAGGGAAAGGTGGTAAAAGAATGAAAAACGCAAATGTGCAAAACAAGCAGAGGACTAGCATGATACAAAAATAAAGCAAGAATCAAAGGAACAAGCTGAAGCTTATAACCTAACAGTCAAAAGTATCTGTTGCAATTTATTTACATATTATATATGTGCATTTGTAGAATTCATTTCAACTCAGGAAAATGAAATGCTAATATTCTGGGTACATTAAAAAACTTGCTGAAGTATTACCTTATGAAAAGTTCTAGCAGAAGACAGCATAGCCAGGCATACCTCTATTATTATTTTCTGCCTCTAAGGTCATGACTATAAAATATAACTAGCACCTTGTCACAATTAATAAGCTTGCTCAAAAAGAGAAATAATCACTGTAGGTATATAAACATACATCTAGGACAAAAACTTTTCATAAGGCAAGTGGGGTCACTAAGAATTTCAAAGGTGAGATATTAGCTGAATATGCCTCCCACCTTCACTACCCTATCTTCTTCAAATGATAGCAGAGCCTACATAATGAGTAGAATTCATCTTTAATCTATATATACTCATTTTTTTAAAAGCCAATAAAAGCAAAGCATTTATATCTATACCAGAAGCATACACTGTTTTTTTCAAAATTATGTAACATTTTATGCTTTAACTATTTTCTAGCACAATGACATCAGTTTTTATCAGCCTTTCCAAATTATCAGTAAATAAATTACCTTAACATTTACTTTGTGTTAATCATCTTTACTAAATTATGAAAAGCAAAAAATAAAACCAAGTTCTAACAGTCCATTAGTTTAAGCCTGAAGTGAAGCTGCCACACTGAAAAAATGACCTAATAAGAAAAAATTATTCAGCAGACCTCACGTGTCTTCAGAAAAATATATATAGTGAGCCCTTGTTATGTGTGAGAGGCTGGTCCCTGGACCCCAGCACTATCAAAATCGGTTATTTGCACATAATCTTCACATGTCCCCACATGTGCAGATGTAAATGTATATGTGCAGATGTGTATATACACACACACACACACACACACACATATTTACTTATAAAAATATGCACATTTTTTCTCTTTTTTTGTGGTAGTGGGGATTGAATCTGGGGCCTTCATACTGAGACACATCCCCAACCCTCTCCCCCTTTTTTGAGATAGGGTCTAAATCCCTAAGTTGCCTGGGCTAGGCTTGAATTTGCAATCTCCTGCCTCAGCCTCCCAGAGTGTGAGGTTACAGACAGGTACCACTAAGCCCAGCTTTTCCTTTTTTTTTTTTTTTTTTATTGTTTAAAGGATACAATGTCTTGCCAGGCTGGTCTCAAACAGCTACATATGAATGATTCTCCAACAGCTTCCAGAGTAGCTGGACTACAGGTACAGCCACTGTACTCTGCTCTCTCACATTTTTAAATCATCTCTAAATTACTCACAATGCTTAATATAATGTAAATGCTACATAAACAGCTGTTAGACTTCTTTGTTTAAGGAACAGAAACAAGAAAAAAGACCTATAGATTTCAGTATAATTTTTTCCTAAGTATTTCTGATCTGTGGTTGGTTGGAGTCACTGGTGTGAAATCCATCTATATGGGGGGGGCGATTTATTTAGCTGTTTATATATACATAATTTTGAGATATCACAAACTGGAAATCTGAAAACAACCAATCCATATAATAGAAAATTTTTCATTCCTTGTACTATGTGAATCGTATTACAGAAAATAGATCTGTTCAGCTAATTTCAGGTTATGCGCTGACTTTCAAAACAGACTTCTAATTTATGAAGCACGGGGTAAAGTCTTAAAACTATTTGGAAACTCCCAGTTATATTCACATATCCTTTAGGAAAGAAGTCTTTTTTAAAAGTTGACATTTCCAAATATAATGCCTTAATTCCATAAAAATACAGATAATGGAAAATGTAGGTTACATGATTATTACTTTACGGTGAGTGCCCCACCAAACTTTCCCTAAAAGTACCCAAACAATCTAGAAAAAACACTTAAGCAGGGTTAAGACATAAATACCACAAACAGTCTTATTCACAGGTCAGCAGAATACATTAAAGTAAGCTGGATGGAGCACTCATTAGAAAAGGAGGGCATATGCAGAGGCAAACATGAGTTAAAGGAAATTACTGGTAAATACTGCTTTAGATTGAAGAAATATAGATAGAATATGAAATTTTAATATTAAAAAACAGTAACATCTGTTACTCCAAAGCCTCATGAGCTCACAGGTGAGCCCCTGGAATATGGGTGGATCATGGGGATTTAGAGGTGGCTTGCTGGTATAGGAGGCAGTGTCTGGTCAGAAGAGGCGGGCCACTGGGGGCGTGGTCTGGAAGGATTTGTCTCTTCCCCATTCCTCTTTTTACTCTCTGCTTCCTGCCACTGCAGTGCTTTACCATAGCAGGCTGCTATACCAGTCTACCAGACCACCCTGCCTTAGAGCCAGGAGACTATGACCTAAAACCTTTACAAACTGTGAGCCAAAATAAATGTCTCTTCATTTAAATTGTGGGTATTGGGTATTTTGTCAATGAGGAAAGTACTGTAAGACAACAGTTAATAGAGTACTCTTATTTTTTCTCCTATTTTCATAATTCCTTACTGCTCTGGTTTAGATATGATTTGTATCCCAACAGTATATGGGTTGGAAACGTAGTCCTTGGTGCGACAGTGTTCTTTAAGAGCCTAGGTAGGTACTGAGGTCACTGAGGATGCAGCGTAGGAAAGGCATTCACGCTGGTCTCCCGGAGTCAGTCAGTTCCCAGGCAAGGAGACTTATAAACAGAGAAGCCTGGCCCCTTCCCATTCTCTTGCTTCCTGACTTACCACATGAGCTCTTCTAGACACACTTCTGCTGCTGTAATGACATCCACCATGAGGCCCGCACTAGAGGCCACACAATGTTGGATTTTTAGCCTCTAAACCTGTGAACTAAATAAATCTCTTTTCTGAACTTCCTTTCTAAAATTTCCTTTCTTTATTGAAAATTGGGGTATTGCACTGTTATTTTAGAATTAAAATGTTCCCCATGTGTTCAGAGGTGAGGCTTTTTGCAAGGCAAGTGAATAACGGGCACTGTATCATCAGTAGATTGATCCACTGATGAGTTCAAATTGAATGTGCTGTTGGGAAGCAGGGCCAGGTGGAATGAGGCAGGTCACTGGGAGCATGACCCAGAGTGTTCTTATAGCTGCTTCCTCCCCTTTCTCTCTCTGGTTTCAGGCTCCCATGAGGTAAGCAAATGTCCTCCATTATGACCTTCTACCATGAAGTTTCTGCCTCGAATCCAGGTGACCATGGACTGAATCCCCTGAACTATAACCAAAATAAATCTCTTCTTAAAGTTAAAGGTGTTGGGTATTGTGACCAGCAACAAGAAAGATAACTAATACAAACTGTAAGTTATGGTTCTGATCAACAACTCTCATCTCACTACGTACAAGTGGCATGTCTTTTTAAAAGCCTAATTTTCAAAGACAATCTCTTTTTCCTATTGCAGATGATAGAAACGTCTACAACTGAGGATTTAATAGTTATACCCAACTTGATTTTATTTATATTCAATATCTGTGATATTAATAGAATTCATAAAACAAAAAATAAAAAGTTCCATACTTAAAATGAAATTCATATTCTACTACGCTAAATAGTAGAACAATTTTCTACTAACACTGACTGTGCTTCATTTTGAAGTCTAAGATCATTTCTCATTGAAGCATTCCATTTTCTTCTTAACATAATGGTATGTTTCTATGCATTTATTTATATTTTCATTTTGGTAAACTTTAAGGAGGTTGTTTTGAAATCTGAAGGTTAAAATTCAATTCCAATATTACATCATAAAATTATACTGGTTGAGTAATCTTTATCATAAAGATTCACCAATCACACCAATATTTTTTTAATTTCCTGTTCTAGCTACAAAACTTGCCAGGAAAGCCTTAAAAGATTATTGTCTTAATTTTTAGAGGTTAGAAAACAATTTTAATTTTTCACTTATACTTTATAATAACTGGGAACATTATTTCTAACCAGGTTACTTAAGTTGGTCCTCCTATATTTGTTATTATTTTTAAAGTTCAAAACACCTAACTTGAAGAGATTTAATATCTAAGATAATCATTGTTTTTATTTTATATTCACCCTCGGGTAAAGAAAACTTATTTCAAATAAAACAATGTGCCATTTAAACATTCAACAATATCAAATGCTCAATAAATGAGACATTTGGAAATATTGCTGTTTTTCCTAATCTAAACTGAAAACTCAAAATAAGTGCATTAAGAACCTATTTCAATAAAGGATTGAGTGTTTCCATTTAAAATTACAAAAATATTTACTAACAAATTTACCAAGAAATTTCTATTTATCTTACTGTTTTTTTTTTTAAATACAAAACTAACCTCTATCATTAGACAAACTCATATTTTGTTCAAGTAATAAAATAAACATATTTCAGGGCCAGGGATTTAGCTCTGCAGTTCAGTGGCCTCCCTTACAAGCTCAAGGACCCGTCAGTTCAATCCCCGGTACAAAAAAAAAAAAAAAATTCAGCCAATATTATAATGCTAAATCAATCAGGATTTAAATACTTCTTTAATTTATTACAAAATTGTTCTGACTACATTTGTTTTGACAAAAGAGGTATCCCGCTGAATAAGGTTAATCACTGATTTGCAGAACAATGCTCCTGAGCCTTATAATTGTCTGAAATTATTTCCATTTATTATATTACTACAGAGAAAAATAAAATCAAACACTTCATGTATTCATTCTTAAAAGACATTTCGTGAATTTATATTTTGTAAAAAATTAGTTTATTAAAAATTCAATTTTTTTTGGTAGCGATCAAGTTTACAATAAAGGAGCAATCATTGTCATAACATCCCATTTGAAGGAAAATCCCATTTCCTTAATCCTAATAGAGTTATTACAAAGACCAGACTTTCAGGCTACCTTGATTATCAATTCATAAGTAAACACAAATAAAAACATACATAAACATCACATAGTGGAGGAACCAAAAGAAAAAGCTCACTTACTCTATTTATCAATTATATTCAACATATAATTTTTCTGCAATTTATTTTGCAATAAATGAGTGGCAGTCCATATCCAAAAGTCCAAATAGACTAACAATTATAGAAATTCTCTTTGCTTCTTCCTTTAACCCTTGCTTAAATTTTAGAATTAAGAATTACTGTCTTTATTTTTAACCTACTTCTAAGAGCAATCTTTTCCATGGACCCCAGGAATTTATACAGAATTTAGAGAATTAGGAAGAAGAGAGTTGCCAAATCAAGGGGAAAATCAGAAACTACATATTCAGAAGGAGAAGGACTAGTATGTAAACTATGTTACCTGTTCCATGTTTTGAAGGCATTGCTGGCTCGTTTGAACAGATATCCTTCCATGACTATGCCATTTGCAGCATCTACATTGTATTCTAACTTAGAATCATCACTGGAGAAATCCTAGACAAAATTACATATAGAAGTTTATGGCTTGACACATTTCCTAGAAAAATAAACTTAACCTAGGGAAACAGCTCAAAAGGAAGAAAGTCTTTTTATTAAGATGGTTATGAAAATTACATTCGTAAGAAATGGGGAGAGAGATAAATGATCAATATGGAAGTCTGCTTCAACATATTTAAGTATTTCAGCTTAGTGGACTATCATGCAATAATTATTATAGTGACGGTGTAAAAACATGATTATATGGAAAATATTATAAAACAAAATAAAAATATATATTGTATTAAAAGGAAAAATATGAAAACAAATACACAAAGAGAACAACCAAAGATTACATACAGTGTTATCTTTACAATGCTTTTCTTTTATGCTATTTTACGGTGATGTGATATTTTAATAGCATATGGATACAATGAATTGGGATTATTTGAATCTACACTATTTACTAAATATATTACTACCATAGTAGCTTTTTAAAGTTTTTTTTGTCTTTATTAAGTTTATTGGTACATTTTAGGTATACAATACAATTACATTCATCTTGTATCTTTACAAGACTTATTTTGGCTCTTATTTTTCCCCATTCCCCAGCCCTCCCTTCACCCCTTCCACCGTACCCTGTTTACAAAGACATTGTTTCCATGTTTTTCCTTTTCACATACTTTTTCTATTCCCTTTTTACTTTCCCCCCTACCCCTCCCACTTCCTCTATTCTTTTAGACCTTTTCTTCCTATTACACAATATCAATTATACATTTTGATCCTTATTTACACGTTTAGTTTTTCACACCAGATAAACTATTCAGTATTTACACACGTGTCTTCTTAATTTCACTTAAGAGTATGGCCTCAATATGCATTCACTTAGCTATAAATATCTCTAGTTTCCTGTTCTTTATGGCTAAGTAGTGCTCAATTTTACTTAAAAAAGAAAAAAAAAGCAAAACAAACACACACACACACACACACACACATCTTCTTTATCCAGTCTCCAGTTGATGGGCAATTGGGCTGTCTCCAAATTTTAGCTATTACAAACTGTGCTGCTATAAACATGGGTGAGCATATATATAGCTGTGGTATGATTCTTTTAATTATTATAGGAAGAGGGATAACTGCGTCAAATGGGACCTCTAATCCTACTTAATTGTGGTATCTCCATATTGATTTCCACAGTGGTTGCACCAGTCCACACTCCCACCAACAATAGAAAAGGGCTCCTATCTCCCTACAACCCCGCCAACGTTTGCTACTGGTTGATTTCTTGATAGCAGCCATTCTTTCTGAGGTGAGATGGAATCTCAGTGTTGTCTTCATCTGCATCTCTCAAATGACCAGTGATGTTGAACATTTTTTCATATATTTATCTGCTGCTTTTACTTTTTTTTTTTTTCCGAAAAATGTCTGTTCATGTCAGATGCCCATTTTTGAAATGGGTCTCTATATTTGGGGGGGTCTGATTTTTTTACGTTCTTTATATATTCTAGATAGAAGACCTTTATCTGAAGAACAGCTGGTAAAAAATTTTTCCCACATTGTGGTTGTCTCTTCACTCTGCTTCATTTCTCTGGCAGTGCAGAAACTTTCTAAAAAGATGAGATTCCAATTGTTGATTCTTGTGCTAGTTCCCATGCTACTGAGGATTTGTTACAGCATATTGCTGGATTTTGCTTCTTTATCCATTCTGCCAGTCTATTTCTTTTGATTGGTGAATTGAGGTCATTGACATTAATGGTTATAACTGATATGTACTGACTTACCATTGTCATGTTATTTTCCTGTTGTTGGTTCTTTTTTATTTTTCTCCCTCTCCCTTTAAATTCTTGCCTACCGGATTTGCTCTGTTGGGCCTCATGGAGTTGTGGCCTTCACTGTCTTTTTCTAGAATTTTTTTTTCAATTGTTTGGAATGTTGGGTTTTGTATTCATGAAGTTTCTCAGGTGTTGTTTGTCATGAAAGTATCTTATTTCTCCATGGTAGCTTTTTAATCTGAGTAGTAGCTCTATTATTTTTAAAAATCAGAAATAGTACAAAAGAACTGAATAATATTTTGTTGCAGTGGCTAAAATAAAATTTAGTTTTACAAAAGAGAAGGACCTTAAGACCACAGTTTAGTGTGGGCATGTTGAGACCACTTTTTTCTGAGAACTATGGAATTACTCATAGACATACTGTAGTCATTTAGGTCTATATTTGAATGAAATTTAAACTTTCAATATTCCTCCAAAGAGTCACAAAACTCAGAAATCAGTAACCCAATATTTAAAATACTTCCTATCAAAATTCCAAACCATTTTGAACAAAACTGCAAGATTATGGCTATCAAAGCAAACTAAATCTCTAAAAACCAGTCTTAGAACTGTCAAAGTGACTCTTGCACCAGTGAGTAAAATTAGAACGCTGCCTGTCTCGAGAAACATTTTGGCAGAGGCTGGATGAACTGCCTGCTGAGAATGCTGAGATGTGAGGGACCTGCCTTACAGGGAAGGCAGAGTGAGAATCACCCAGGGACCGTCCAAATCCAAACGTCTACTAAAATGTGAGAGGAAAACAGACTGAATTCAGAAATTTTTAAAAAATTTTACATCTTTGATATCTATTTCAAACTCTGACATAATATAAAATGTTCAAATGGAAGCTGAATGTATAAATGCATCTTCACATACTGTCCTATTTTTTCTTTGAAAAAGCATCAGAGAAACTTTTAATTACCTCATTTAAAATTTATTTGAGGCTATAATTTTTTTAACAGTGCTGGGGATCAAACCCAGGGCTTCAAAGCACACTATCGCTGAGATATGTCCCCATTGTGAACTACAGTTTATTTAATTAAGTGCACAAGAATAAATCAGCAGTAGGTAAAAATGACTTCTGTAACATTCTGGAGGTTTCACTGTGACATCACAGTTTTATTTAACAGGCCTTATTCTACACTTAAGACATAAAACAATGATGATAGGGAAGTAACTCAGTGGGAGAGTAGCTAGCATATACAAGGCCCTGGACTCGATCTCTAGCACTGCAAAACAATAAAATAAAATGAGATATAAAGTAAGACTTCCTTAATAACATCAAGAATCAACAAATATAACTACATCAAATTACAAAGCTTCTGCACAATGAAGGAAAACAATCAACAGTGAAGAGATGATCTACAGACTGGGAGAAAATGTTTGCTAACTACTAGCTATTCTGCTGATAAAGAAGTAATATCTAAAAAAAAACCAAAAAACGAAGAAGTAATATCTAGGACTCATAAAACTTAAACCAAAAAACTACATGGCCAAATCAATAACCGGGCAAAAACAGAATTATCAAGGGAAATACAAATGGCCAAAAATATCAACATTTTTAGCCTTTACAGGGATATAAATCAAAACTACACTGAGATTTCATCTAACCCCATTTAGTGTGACTGTCATTAAGAATGGAAAAAAAAAAGGCGGGGGATTAGGCTCAGCGGCATAGTGCCTACCTGGCAAGTGTGAGGTCCTGAGTTCGATCCCCAGTACCAAGTAAATAAACAAACAAACTGGCAAGGATGAGAAAGTCTTCTTACACTGTTTGTGGGATTATAAACTAGTACAACCGTTATGAAAATCAATATGCAGATTCCTCAAAAAACTAAAAATAGATACATACACCACACATTGGTATGTTCCCAAAAGAATTAAAGACAGCACACTATAGTGATACATGCGTGCATGCCCACGTTTGTAGTGGCACAATTTATAACAGCTAAGCTGTTCATTAATAGATGAACAAATAACAGAAATGTGGTATATAGACACGTTATAAAGAGGAACAAAATCATGTCATTTTTCAGGAAAATCAATGGAACTGGAGACCCTCATGTTAAGCAAAATAAGCCAGTTTCAGACAGTTAAATATCACGTTTCCCTTATATAAGCAATATAAAAACAAATTTAAAAAAAGGAGAAATGACAGAAACTAAACCTTTAGAGATATGCATGGGGAGCGGGGGCAAGAGAGAGGGGCGTAAAAGGGATGAAAATAATCAAAATACACTAAGCAAGTCACATTCTGTACCTCTAACAGGTACCAATTAAAAAGAAGAATCATCGATTTGGATCTTTCTAGAGCACTGCTGCACATTCTAGTTGTCATCATTTATTACAAAGTGAGTGTCAAAGGGGGGAAAATGAGACTTCCTTGACTGCGCAGTGCACTACAAGTGTTTCTCTATTTTTCAATTATATTTCTTGAGATGACTTAAATCTTCAACTTAGTCATCATTAATATCCATTAATACTTGGAGTATTTAAAATATGACAGATTAGGGCCAAGGATTTAGCTCAGCGGTTTGGTGGCCTGCCTCGCAAGCGCAAGGACCCGAGTTCGATCCCCCAGTACCAAACAAACAAAAAGACAGATTACAGTACTTAAATATTTAAAAATATTTTTAAATACTTAAAAATTTTAAGGCTACACATGGGCTTATTACAGTGTATAAAAGATTTTATCAACAATGCTGGATGAAACGCATTCCATCAGAATTTGACTGCAGTGATCTGACGACACATGAGGAAAGAACACTCTAAGGTAGTGATGGTGAACATTTAGAGCTTTCTGCTGCGACAAGCATCCCATAGGTTTGCCACTGCTCTGCGGCAAAAAGATAAATGAAAATTGGAAGGCAATGAGGTCAACAGAGCAAGGCATCCAGCTTTCACCTGGAGAGCCCGAGTCTTCATGTGGGCTCAAGGGATGGAAGGCTAAACCAAGGATGATCAAAGAAGCTTTTCTTGTGCAACTGCAAGCAAGACAAGAAAAACCACTATCACTTCCATTCAAGATTATGAAAAGGTCCTAGCCAACAAGACAGCAAAAAAAGGTAAAAGATTGGAAAGAAAGAAACAAACTATCATTATTTATGAATAAGACTTTGTACTCAGAATATCCAAAAGAATCCAGAGATACATCAGTATTAAAAAAGAACTAGCCTGGCAACTTAGCAGGGCTCTGTCTCAAAACACAAATGTTAAAAAGAACCAGGGATCTGGCTTAGCTGTACAGCAACTGCCTGGCGTGTTTGAGCCCCTGGGTTCAATCTCCAGTACCACACACATGCAAAAAGGACAAATCAAAACCACAATGAGCTGTCAATTATCTACCTACCACATGGGCAAAACTATACTTGTACAACAAGGTGGCAAGGAGCGACAGGGACTCGCAGAATGATGCCTGCCAGGAATGGAATATGTTCTGGAAAACAGTTTAGCATTAGCCACTAAGAATGAACACACACACGTTCTCTGAGGCAGCAGCTTCACTCATCGTATAAATCCACTGGAAGGGTGTACACGTATCAAGAGCATGGACACACATGCTCACAGCATCACTGCTTCTCGGCTGATCAATGTCAAACCCTTTACAAAATCTAAATAATTAGATGTACTTTCCCTTAAACTTCAGTTGATTGGATTTTTTTTTTTTTTTTTTTACCTGTAATGCAGCCTTATGTCAGCATTTAAGGGAAGAATAAAGAAAAGTATTCATAGTGAGCAAAAAAATATATTTTATTTAAAACAGTTGTGTATGGTTTAAAATCAAATAAACTAGTCCCATATTTAATAATTCACCAGTTTCAGACTTTCAGTGTAATACTAAATAAACTATGCACATAATAGGGAAAGATATTAAAAGATTTTAAAATTTAGTTTAAGTAAATATCACAAATTTCTATACATGTTGTAATCTCTTGTTTTAATTACAAATGATTCATCCCAATTTTTAAGTCTTTTCATGATGTCATTAAAACTACTTGCAAGACATCATATTGTATACCCTAAATAGACACAAATTTTATTTGCCAATTGAAAAAAATAAGTTTCTCAAAAGTTTATATTACTTAGATGAAAGAATATATGGAGTTATTATCATCTGACAATAACTAGGGAGTAACTAAAGATGGCCTGACAGAAAAATCTTTCCTTTCTTAAATACTATTTCTCTTTGAGCATGACTAATCCATCAATTAAATTTTTCTTACTTTTATTACTGATTTTGCTTTCATTTCTTTACCCATACACTTTCTATGTCAAATTTGGTCTACAAATATTTTAAATTCTAAATAAACAGGGCCAGGGATGTACCTTGGTGGCATAGAGCCTGCCTGGCAAGTGTGAGGCCCTGAGTTCAATTCCTGATACAGAAAAAAAAAATTCTAAATAAACCATAATATATGGGCATGGTGATGCATGCCTATAATCCTAGCACTTGGGAGGCTGAGACAGGAGGATTGCTAGGAGTTTGAGGCCAGCCTGGGTTACATAGTAAAATCAAGTCCCGTTTGAACTACACAGTGAGACTGTCTCA